TCATCAGAAATGTCACGGAAAGTTTCAGAATCCTAGTTCCTCTGGAAAATAAAACTGTAAAAGCTGGCAACAATGGGCCCACATTCCCAGATGGCACAGCCAATGGGGGCTGAAGAGATGAGGCATAGAGTCTGCTGTGCCCCACTCCCCATCACTCCCTATTGCTCCCCGGCATTTGGCCAATTCAGTCAGGAGCGTGTCAGTGTGTGATCCTGTTTCTCCAACCTCTGCTTTGGTTCTCCTCTCCGTTCATTGCCTCTGAGGAGCTGCGAGTTACTAAGGAGGGTGTGAGGAACCCACCCACATAAGCAATAGGCACCAAGCCCGCCGATGATGGTGCCGGTGGTCCTGTGCCATCGCAGGCCAGAGGGTTAGAAAGTCACAACTTTGCTTCTGAGATCCGGGTTCCCACATCTAACTGCCTACATGACATCTTTGCTTGGATGCCTCACAAGGTCTTCCTTCTGCCTAACCCCGAACTCATCTTCCCCTAAGAAACTTCTTCCCCAACTCTTCCCCTACGGCAGGTGGCACCACCCTTCCCAAGCCACACCCCACGCCAGCACCAAATCATCTTCCTGCTTCCTTCCTCAGCCCTTCTAACCCTCCCCCTCTAGAGAGAAGACTGAGTGATCCTGAAAATATTAAATCAGAATCGCCTTCCTCCCCTACCCAAAATGTGTTACCAGCTTCCCCTTGCCCTGGATTAAAATCCTAGCTCCCCAACTTGGTTTATGAGTCCTGCATGTCCTGGCTAAACTCAAGTAACCCTGGCCCCCCTGCAGCTCTTCAGACACATGAGTTCTTCCCTGCCTCAGGGCCTTTGCACGTGCCCCTACCACCGCCAAAAGAGGACAGCAAGGCAGAGCAAGGCCGGGCATGATGCTTCTCTGTGCTGGCTCCTCACCTGCTCCAGGTGCCAGATGGCAGGTCACCTCCTCAGCAAGACCCTCCCTCTAATGCAGGTCTCCCAAGTACCCTCTTGGCAAGGTTTTCTTGAAGGAGTTATGCCCAAGTTCTGAATCCAACAGATGAGCTCCTTATCAGCCATCATGTCTTACCTAAGAGTTCACATGTCATTCCATCCCATGTCTGGCCTCCCCGACCCACCTACACCCCGACCCAATGGTCACACTAAACCGTTCTGGTGTACTTTGCACCTCCCTGCCTCTGAGTTCCATCTCACCTCTCATTATACTACTGGCACCTAGCACAGTACTTGGCACACAGTAGGTCCAAACAAAATATTGGTCAAATGAATGAGTCATGAAATCTAAAAAGCACTTCAAGTTTAGAGCCAACTTTCTTCCAAGACTAAATGACATTCAGGTCAGAAAAAAAAAAAAGTTGAATGTGATATATGCTTAAGACTTAAATTTTATATTTAGAAGAACAGATGAAGTGGTCTTGTATTTGTTTTACTGTCATATGAAGAGGAGCATAAAACCACTAAGCACGCAAAAAAAAATATATTAAGTTTCATAGAATGGCAAATAAAAAAGAAGGGTGGGGACGGATGATTGAGGAGGGGAGGGAGCCCTGGTTTCAGTACAAAAATAGAAACAGTTGGGGAGATAAAGAGAGAGATAGAGATCAAGAGAGAAACCAGCAGAAAGTTCTAGCAAGGTACAAAACGGGGCTTCATTCCTCTTCTGGGAAACACGGGGGCACCCTCCAGATTTTGAAAGGGGTTTTCGCACCTACTAAAAGCTTAAGCTCACTTGTTTCTCAAGGTCTCTCTTTTCTTCATTTTTCAAAGGAATTTTTAAAAAACCAACTACCTACACTAAAAATCAGGGATTAGCACATTTCATTTTTGAAGAGCACACAAACTGTCCAAAAGGAAAAAAAAAAAGATACTTCACTTTGTGTTTTCTGAGAACATGGCTTAATTTTGAAGTCATACAATGAGTTTTCAAAGTTATGAGCAAGAATAAGAACGGATCCTTGGGGGCTGTTGGAAGAAAGGGTGTGAAAGTCAAGTGCTCGGTAGCAGAGTCTTTTGAACTGCACATCTCTTCTCTGAAAATTTCCATGGCCCCGGCCATGATGAATGAGTGAGCAGAGGTTAGCACCACATGTGGCTGGACCTCACTGGCCAAGCTAACTGGCCCAGTGGACGGCACCCATCCCAACCAAGGCCCATTAGCACTTCCCTGAGAATCAGGGTTTGGACTCCAATGGGCTAGTGAGGGAGGTGAAATCGGAATAGCATATACACTTCATAGGCAGGGAGTGTAGGTAATTTCCCACCAGGCTTTCTCTGCCTGGGGAGAGAAAGAAGATCGGGAAGAGACGCAGAAGATGGGGAAAGTGGTGCAGCTGGCAGAGCCAGACCCCAGGATCCAAATCCAATATCCACCACTCAGTAACTATGACCTTGAATGAGTTCCTTGACATGTCCTTGTCAAGGAGGGCTCTGATTAGTAATGTACACAGCACTTGGAACAGATCCTGACATGCATTATATGCTCACTAAGTGTTTACTGTTATTACTGTGTTGCTAAACTGTAAGCTGGTGAGGATTGCTGGCTGTTTTGTTCACACCCTGTCCCAGAATCTAGAACCGTGCCTGGTACATAGTAGTGCTCAACAAGCATTTGTTGAGTGATCAGAGGATGAAGAAGCCCTGAAAGGGTAGAGTCCCCTGACTCTCTTCCTTATCTCAGCTACGACCCCATAGGAGCCATCAGAGTGGGGTCTTAGCAAAGCCTAAGTCAGATCATGCTTCCTTCCTGCTTTTCACACACTTCTCTGTGGCTATCCAGACCCTGAATGCTCTGGGCTCCGGCTCCTTTCTACCTCTCTCCACTCTCTCTCTGGCCCCTCACACTCCAGGTACATTGGCCTCTGATGGTCCTCCGATGTGGTTCCTTCTGCCTCTTGGCATTTGCACATGCTGCTCTCCCTACGTCTCTTCCTCAGGGAAACCTTAGCAGATGTTCTTCTCTCTTACGATGCCTCCTCCACCCGGAACTCCACACTTTTCTTTCAGGCCACTTGCCACAGCTGCTCATTTTATTATCTGTGTGATCAGCCCTTGACTCTTTCCCTCTAGAACGTGAGCTCATGATGAAAGAGATCAAACTTGTTTTATTCTTCACTGTGTTTCAGTATCAGATTCAGTATATGACAAAAGGGAGGTGCCCAACAAATGCTTGCAGAATGAACTCACTTGCTGAATGGATTGACTAAGCAAGGAAGTAAGACTTGGAGGTTGATTTCCTAACTCCAGGTTCTTCTTGAGTTGAATCTACTGGCCTGGTTTTGTCCAACTGCCCCATAGCCTCCTCATACAATCCCCTTTTCTTCTGTTTTGAATGAGTTTCCCTATCCCTCCCAAAAGTGTTGACTTCAAGACACAGACTGATGCCATCCTCCAAGCCAGGAGGCCTTTTGAGGAAGATAACAAGTCCAGAGTCTCTACAATGTCCAGTATATGTTATCACTGAAATATCAAAATACAATCAACAATCACTAGACATGCAAAGAAAGAGGAAAAGGTGACTTATGATCAAGGAAAGGGGGCAATAAATAGAAACAGATCCCAAGACGTCTGTGATGTCAGGTTTAGAAAAAGCAACTGCCAGAAGTTAGAAGTTCCTAATCTATAACAATAAAAGCATAATATGCTAATTAGACCAGATGGCCAAACAGCGGCATGACCATCCGACGACTTTTGGGACAAGCCAGGGCTGCAAGGGCCGAGGCAGTTGCTGCAGCTGTGAGGGCCGAGCCCCTTGCACAAATTTCATGCGTCGGGCCTCTAGTATTCTCATAAAAGTCCTTATCCAGGTGTATGCAGCATAAGTATCTGTGAAGATGTGGGGGTTTGTAGTTTGTTTGTTATCTGAACTCTACTCGTGTCATGTAGCTTCTAACTAAGTAGTTTTTGGTGATACTCAAGAATCTGTATTGTTAACAACTCTAGAGAGCTCTGATGTACACTGCATCAGATCCTTATCATAGAATTCTTACCATATAATACTTACACTTTAAGGCAAGTACTTAAAAAAAAGGTAAATTTATTTAAATGTATTGAAGGTCTGGTTGGGTTGGTTGGTGGGCACTAGTCAGCAGTTACTGGTTAACCCAAAGTACAACTAAGAATATTTCAACTCTAATTATTTTGGAGAAGAAAGAACACTATACTTATTTTGAGAAGAAAAAAAGAGATCTGAGGTTGAAGTGAAAGCCACAGACATAAAAGATAACTACTAAGAAAAAAACAGGAGGAAATGCTCATGGTAAAAAAGAAAAAAAAAATCATAGTACAAACTACTAAAACATCAAGTATACAAATGTACAAAAGTAGACATTACCATGTTTGTGAATAGAAAAAAGACAAACAGGAAATATATCAAAATGCTAATAACAGTTATTTTAGGTAGTTTGACTATGCATAGTTTTTTGTTTGTTTTAATTTATTTCAGAGAGGAAGGGAGAGATAGAAACATCATTGATAAGATATAATCATTGACCAGCTGCCTCTTGCGTGCCCCCTATTGGGGATCGCGCCTGCAACCTGGGCATGTGCCCTTGACTAGAATCAAACCTGGGACCCTTCTGTCTGTAGGCTAATGCTCTATCCACTGAACAAACCAACTAGGGATAAGTATGAATAGTTTTAATTTGTTCCAACTTTCCTATATTTTACAAGAGTATATTGATTTTCCTCTATTCACGCTCATCTAAGTTTTAAACACAACACGATGGCTTCAGAAACCTCTGTCAATACACAAACATCTGAAAAATTCTAGCAGTGTTTCAATCAGAAAGAGAAGGGAAGAAGTAGCTGGAGCATGAATATCGAAAGAAGACTTTCTTTTCTGGCATCTTGATAGCTGATTCATTTCAGATACTAATTTGATCTTTAATGCCTCATCCCTTAGAGGAGTAAGAGGCTGAGTCACACACCTCAACCTGACAAGCCACAGGCTGAGATTCAGTAGAAGTAAATCACCTAGAAACAAATAAATAAAAATAATTCAAGTCCATACCTGAACCACAGGGTGGCCACCAGTTGGTGCTTTGACGGCCCCTCGGCTGCCTTCTGTCTCATAGTGGGCCCGGTGATGTGGCTTGGGCTGCACCTCGATCCGAAGCTCGTAGGAGCCTGACTGGTGGGAGAGTGGCCATTCCAGTGGAGGAAGGGATGCAGTCACTGGGATGCTGAAGGAGGAAACCCAAACAGTTGTAGGTACAATAAATCAGAATCAGCTCACCTGTACAATAAACGTAAATGGCTCATTTTCTGAAAAATGTGTCCAATGAGCATAAGGATAAAATGCTGGCTATTGGGAGGCACATGTTTCTCAGGCAGGATAGGTAGGGAGATCTTTTTCTTTGCTTTCTCATTCATCTTCTTGAAGACAATGTGACTGACATCTTCATTCATGAAGCTAATTTCACTGTGTGTTAGCTCTAGTGTGTTTTTAACTGCCAGACCTTCTTTTTCTCTGAGAATTTTGAAGAGTATCATGTCCAAGCTCTTATTTCTATGTATGATGATCTCAATTAAAAATAAACTTTAGAGAGAGGTGAGTTCCAGTCACAGTTATTATTTATCATGTCAAGTATAAAACATTCAACCACAGAGAGGTGTCTGGTGTTGGTAGGAATGAGCCAAACCACTCAGTCTCCCGAATATTAAATGAAGAGTAAATGTCAAGCTCATGACTGAAGTTACACACTCAAGTTTAAGTCCCAGCACCACCTCTAACTACCTGTATGACGGAGCAAATGCCTCTACCTCCTTTGGCCTTAATTTCCTCAACAGTGAAATGGGGATATGGAGATTATATAAAAGATCCTATCACAGTAAGTGCTCCAAAATTACTAGCTATCATTTTCCTGTATATTTCAAACAGTTATTTCCTATAGATAATCTGAGTTAGTTACAATATTAGATATGCATGCCTTTACATCTGAGGCTGTAATTTCTTTGAGGACATGCCATTAAGTTTCATTTTATATTAGAATCTCAACCCTATTCAGCATACACAGCAGGCACTTGATATGTGATTAAAATTATGACATTTAAGAGCTGAATGATGTCTTGACAATTTATCTAGACTATTCATTCCTTCAGAGCTTCAGAGAACCTCACTACATTTTTCCAAGATCACAGAGCAAGATACAGTCGGGAGCTCCAACTCCCAGTCCAGGGCTCCTTCCACATCTCTATACTGCCTCTTTATCTTACTAATTTATTTAAAATCAGTCCAAGAAATTACCTCATTTATGGGATGACTCTAGAACAATGCATGACATTTGATAGGTTTTCAGGGAATATTCAGTGGGTGGATGCACAAATGGATGGATGAGTGAATGAGCAATTTTATTTCAAAGATTCTCTGTATATTCACTGTAGCTTTGAAGTTGCAAATGCATGGATTTGTGTCACTATGTCCTGATTTTTCACATATGGCAGAAATCATCAATCCAATCAGACTATTTTTTCCCACTAAGCCCAGAGCAGTAGACGCTGACATTATCCACTTGACTTAGTTAAGTGCTTGCAATGAGGCTAATTCCATCCCTTCTCTGTCATGGTAATATCAAGAGGAGAACCGAAGGGGATGGTAACCCATAAACTCTAGCAGTGCTAGAGTCCTACTTGAACTTTCAATCCAATTAAAATCGCATCTTTACTCCACAAGCAAATCTCCATTCTTTCCTTTCCACCACGCTGCCCGCTGAAGCCCCTTGCGCCCTGAAGACTTGGGCAAGACTTTAATTCTACCTTAGTTATATGCCAGCATGCCTTCAAGCTCCTGCTTACAACCAAGGTGCCCCTGATGTTAAATACTCTTACTCTCATCATCAATGAAAGTTAAAAAATAATTAAGTTTGCAAAATAAGGCTCATTAAAAAAAAATCACTTCACCCCTGTGTCTCTTGAAGGATCAAAAAATTTAGTGAGTGGGAGATTCTGTGGAATACCCATAAACATCAATATCGAATTTTGTTTGTTCTGGAATAAGTCTTTGACAACTGAAATAAAATATTAAGAATCAGACCATTGAGGTCAGTCTGAAATCCTGCATTAGAATTCCAGCCTTCTAATAGATCAACTGAAGGACTTGTATCCATGCATGTAAGTACAACCAATGGACATAAAACTCTGGGGAGGGAGGGGATGTGTGGGAGGGAGGGAGGGGGGAAAAATCAATAAAATATGTAAAAATAAATAAATAAATGTTTTTTTAAAAAAAAAAGAAAGAAAAAGAAAAAGAAGTCCAGCCTTCTGCGAAGTTGTCCACACACCTGGAGGTGGATATTATAATGAGATTTCCAGAATGCCCCCATCCTCTCAACCTGATAGAAAATTCTCACAAATATCTCATTGGCTGGCACAGACTGACACTTGGTAGGGAACAAAGGATTCTACCACCTCTCAGGTCAAGCCACAGAATGGAGAGGGAAGGATTTCACAAAATAAACAATAAAGTCTCACATAAATGTACTACAACCATATTTCCTGTGATGTTCCTCTCCACTGGCAGACATTAGGCCATGTTTTGGGGATTGATCTGTAACAGAAAGAACCAGGCATCCTGGACTCTAATTTCCAGCATGGTCGTTAACTATGTGATCACGGGCATGTCATGTCACCTCTCTGAGCCCCAGTTTCTCAACCTGTGCAGGGGTTGGTCCTGATCGCCGTGTCCTAAGGTAGCTTTGTGAAACCTGAGCCACAAAACTCAGAACTCAGCGGCCAAATGAGCTTCAAAATCACTGCGCATTCTATCCAAGCTGGGAGTGGCCCCTGCACCCAGGCACCTGTTTAACCCTGTTGAACCCAGACGTTCCTTTCCTTAAGGGACATTGGCTGACCTACGATGGCCAAAGTGTTCTCAGTGAAACTGGAAGCTTTGCACAGTCCATTTTGGTCTGGTGTGGGGTTAAGCCAACAGGCAGGGCCCTTGGCTACTTTCAACCCCACATCAATCAAAACCCTCTCTTTACCATTATCTATTTTTGTATTCAACATTTTATTTGAAGAAAAAAAAAGGGGGGGGGGGGTTGGGGTTTCCAGATGCTAAAATCAAATGACACTTTGAAAACTACTAAGATATGATAATAGCATAACTCTTCAGATTCTTTATCTAATACAACAATAGAACAATATCTGCTCCTGGCTAGTGTGCCCCATTTTCTTGGCATCAAAATAAAAATAATACCAAACCAGGTTTAGGTGAGAATTTTATGTAGTAATACATAGAGGTACATAGAATTATGCCTGGTACAAGAGTCCTTAAATATTGGGGATTATTATTGTCACCACCAGGACTCTGAAGCTATTGGGAGCTCAGTCTCCTAGCACAAAGCTTGTCTTTTCCTCTAGAAGACAAAGATTACCCAACGACAATCACGCTGCAGGGTTTCTGAGCTCTTACTTTGTGCAGATTCCATTCCAAGAGCTTGATAAATATCATCTCACCTAATCTTTAAACTAAAACACCCTGAGGTAATTACTATTATCATCCTCACCTCACAGGAAGAACCACGGCCCAGAAAGATGCCCAGTGAGAATGAAGGTCCTGATTGATTAGTGATGTCTGCCCTGGGCATGACATGAAAAAATGCTCAGTGAGAAACATGGTCCTGCAGGACTGGTGATGTCTGATGGCTCTGTAGGTTGGCAGTACCAGAGACACCCAGGATCACACAGCCAGTCAATGGCAGAGCCAAGGCTCAAATCCAGTCCTAAGAGAGTCCAAAGCTTACAGGCTGCTATCTACAACTCCAATTTGTCAAGATTTTTAAACTCCTAAGGATTAAGGCTCTCTTATTTTTTAGGGCTTCCCTACACTGACTGCAGTCCTGTGGTACATAGCAGATGCCAAATAAGACATCTTATAATAAGATTAGTGGCCTGGTGCATGAAATTCATGCATGATGGTGGGAAGGTTCCTTTAGCCCAGCCTGCACCCTCTCCAATTGGGGACTGCTGGCTCCTAACCACTCACTTGCCTGCCTGCCTGCCTGCCTGATTGCCCCTAACCCCTCTGTCTGATTGCCTGATCACCCCTAACCTCTCTGCCTGCTTGCCTGATTGCCCCTAACTGATCTTGTCCCCAACTGCCCTCCCCTGCCGGCTTGGTTGCCCCAACTGCCCTCCTTTGCTAACTTGATCTCTTTCCAACTGCCCTCCCCTGCTGAACTGACATCATCCCCAACCGCCCTCCTGGAAGCCTGGTTGCCCCCAACTGCCCTCCCCTGCTGGCCTGATCTCTCCCCCAATGGCCCTCCCCTGCAAGCCTGATCTTGCTCCCAACTCTCTCCTCTGTTAGCCTGATCTTCTCTAATTGCCTCTGCCTGCCTGATCATCCCTAACTTCCCTCCCGTGCTGGCCTGACCTCGCCCCAACTGCCCTTCCCTACAGGCCTAATCTCGCCCCCAACTGCCCTTCTCTGCCAGCCAATTTGGTTCTGATTGGTTGGTTTCTATGTCAGTCAGCTTCAAAAGCTCCACCTCCTAGGCAGCCATTGGCTCCTCACAGTTGACCCAGATTTGGTTCTAATTGGCCGGTTTCTATGCCAATCAGTATCTCTGGGCCTATCAATGGTCCCTGATTAGAAAGGCAGGGCTGATCAGCAGCCCTGGTAGAGGCCTGGAGAGAAATGGAGGCGCGGCTGCTGGCCCGCCCTGGAGAGAGAGAGAGGCAAGTGCTGATCAACAGCTACCACACAGGCTACAAATCAGACTCTGCTTCTCTCTTCAGGCCTCTCTCCAGGTCTGATTCGCAGCCTCCTCAGCAGTCAGTCAGTGCCCGGTCACTGTGCCTGCAACCACAGCAGTCAGTGCTGCATTGCCACAGCAACCCAGTGCTGACTGCAGGACTGACTTCCGGTTGATCAAGCCTCCAGTTGTGATGGACCCAGAGTTTTTATATATTAGGATAGAGTCTGACCAGCTTTGAACCCCACGCTCACAGCCAGAAAGCCATCTCTTCACACTAAACCATGGAACCACTCACTGTCACAGCCCGACTCACCTGCAGATGGGAATGGCAGGCACCAGCGGCTTGGGCCACGTCGGGGGCATCAGCAAGATGGACTCGGGAGCCGAGTTCCTCCTCTCGTCCTGCTCGCAGGGCCCCAGGAACTCCATGGCCGGGTAGATGTGGCGGGGCAGGCCGGCCTTGGGCTGGGCAGCAGTCACCGGGGACGGGTCGGGGCTGGTCTTCCACATCTTGGGGGGGATCCCACAAGGCGAGTCCGGGGCGAGGCTGTTCAGAGCATCCATGAGGATGGCAGAGCCAGCCGTCGGGGGGTACCCGGCGGGGGCGCCGTCGTCCTGGGGCTGCGGTGAGGGGCTGCGGGAGTGCTGGGGTGAGGCTCCGGGCAGCGGGGCGACCAGGGCCCCGGCACACGAGTGCCTCCGCTTGGCACCAGGCGACGAGGAGCGGGAGGCCGGACGGGGCACGGGCGAGTGGCGGCCCAGGCAGCTGTCCTCAGCGAAGCTGGTTCGAGGTGACATTATTGGCGAGGTTCTGGGGGAATAATGAGCAGGGATGTTTTGAAACTGGGGACACAGGTCGTCGGGCCCGCCGCCGTTATTGGGCGAGACGCAGGGCGAGGTGTAGGGGGAGAAGGTTTCGGAAATGAAGCTGGCAGAGGAGCCGCTGCTCGCGGGGCTCAAGCAAAGCGGCTGCTCGCGGTAGCCCTCGAAGCCGGGCACGGGCAGGGTGAACCGTGGGCTGGCGGCCGCCCCCGCCAGGGCCACCTGCTCCCCCAGGAGGCCGGCGTCTCTCATGCGGAGGCCCCCCCCTGCCTGCATCAGTTCGTGGGACGGAGTGATCTCGATCCGAGGGCTCAGGCCCGAGGCCCCCGCTGGCTTGGCCGGGCTCAGAAAGTTCTGGGGCCCTACCCTATCCGGCTCTCCGAATCGGCCGGGGGACTCGCCAGAGAGACTGGCGAGGGGGTTGTATGGCTTGAGGCCATAGTCCAGGACATCGTCATGGTATGCAAGTCCGGAGTGTGGGCTGGCGACCTTATGTGCATTCGGCTCTTCTGGAAAGAGAAGGGGGGGGAGGGGAGGTCTCTTTAAGCCTCTGGAACAGAACTCCCAGCGCAGATTAGTCACAGGCTGGGCGTGTCTCCTGCTGCTTGTTTTCGGTTTAAAACCCCACCACGCAGAACCCCAGGCTGGACCCCACTTCCCTCAGCAGCCGGCTCCCTGAGGCCAAGGCCACACAGCAGGAAGGTTTGAGGGCGAGCATGACGCCGGGAAGTGTCAGCTGGAGGCCTGGCTGGCCACCTGGCTGATGACTCCCAAGCCCTTATCTCAATGGGGCCATTAGAAGAAATGCATTTTATTCCACAACCTAGCGTGCGCCACCATATTCACTCCCAAGGGAAACAAAGGCTTCTCGGAAACAATACTTACCCTCGTCACACACACACACACACACACACACACACACACCGTTACTTTCCTTATAGGCTGGTCACAGCCCATTCAACAGGTTTCCTGTCCCACCAGTGGGCTGTGACCCCCAATTTGGAAAACTCGGACCTAGGCCCACCTCGTCGCTCTACGTGTCTGACACAGATTCGGGGGGATGCAAAGGGAGGGTACCCAGGCCTGGAGTGCATGGAGCTCTGGGGTCAAACCTCAAATATCCACGCTCGAGTATCAGAAGTAGCTTCATTCTGAGCCAGAACTCCTGGCTCCTGGCTTATTTTGTTCAGGCGAGAGCCATTTTACAGATAAGGAAACGGAGGCCCTGGGAGGGGAAGAGATTCACCCTAAACCACAGAATTAGCAGGTTTGGAAATCCCCCAGACAAACTATTGTATTTGGCCCCCAAAATGCAAGGCTCTGGCTATAGAGTCTTCCAAACTGTCAGGCCAGTGGCTGGAGAACACCCTAATTTTTCTTTCATAGTAGCCCTCCAGCGCCAGCTTCTGCCGCCACCTCACAAGGCCCCACAGCTAAAGACTGGAATTAGCAAGGGATCCAGCTATCCCTTCCTGCCGCCCCTTACCGAGCCCTCCTCCAATCTGCCCAGCTCAACACAGGCCCCTCCGTTCAGCCTTCCATCCAAGCCATCAGCAAATCCTGACTGCTACCAGATTCATGTGTCACCCCTTCTCCACTACAACCACCCCGGTCCAAGCTGCTGTCCTCTCCCATGTGGGCCTCTTCCCCAGCCTCCCCATCTCCAGCCTCACTCTGTATGGTCCGTTCCCCATGCAGCCATCCTTGGAAACACCCCTTCCTGAAATCCACTTTAAAGGCCTTCCCTGACACTATAGATGCTATCTACACTTCTTAACACACTTGTCCCTGGCCCTGGCTTGTCTTGCCCCTCCCACCTGTCCCTTCTCCTCCCCAGCCTGACTCAGCAACAGCCCAGAGACCCCTGGCTTTTCTGCCATCGGAGTCTGCCTCTGAGTTCCTGAGTGTGTTTCCTTCTCTGCCTGGGAACTCTCCCCGAAAGGCCTTCAGCTGGCCACTTCCCTGATTCTGTCACGTGCCTGCTCAGTCAATACCCCCTTGGGTTGGCCCCTCAGAAAGATCATCTCTATCCTTACCCCAGTGTCCTTCTCCACCCCTTTTCCCTGGCATCTTTTTCCATTGGCACCAGTGACCGGCTCACATGACATCAGATATTTATCTGTTTAGGGAATTCCATCCCACTAGATCAGGGGCAGGCAAACTACAGCCCCCCTGGGCCAAATCCGGCCCACAGACTGTTTATCAATAAAGTTTTATTGGAACACAGCCACTCCTCATTTTGTATATGGTCTACGGCTTGCTTTTGCACTGTAACGGCAGCATTGGTAGTCGAGGCGGAGGCCATATGGCCCACAAAGCCTAAAGTACCCGATGTCTGCACTCAGGTCTATCCTCCACTGAGGCTGGAACCATGTCAATTAGCATTCAGCACTGTTTGCCAAGAATCTAGCACAGGCGCCTAGAGACTGTCCATACACTTTGGTGGAGTGACTGAGCAAACAAGTAAGTGAAAAATATATGTCCCAGGGCCTGCCAGGCAGAAATGGGACCTCTTCCTAAAGTGGTGCAGCTGCACGAATGATCCTCAACCTACGTGGTTCCCCTTTGGGCCATCCTGGAGACGCTGTCTGGCTTAGCAGAGCTGATCTTATAGGTCCAGACAGTGCCCCCAGCCCAAGTGAGAGCTCAGAAATGGGTTCCCACAGCTCTTAGGAAGGGGCGGGGAACCTTGTTTCTGTCAAGGGCCATTTGGATTTAAAAAAACAAAAAACAAAAAAAAACATTTTTATTGATTTCAGAGAGGAAGGAAGAGGGAGAGAGAGAGAGAAATATCAACGATGAGAGAGAATCATCGATCGGCTGCCTCCTACACTCCCTCTACTGGGAATGGAGCCTGCAACCCAGGCATGTGCCCTTGACCCGAGATAGTTGAACCTGGGACCCTTCAGTCTGCAGGCCAACGCTCTATCCACTGAGCCAAACCAGCTAGGGCCATTTGGATATTTATAACAACATTCTTGGGCCATACAAAATTATCAACTTAATAATTGGCCTGCTCTATTTGGCCAAACATTTAATTAACTTACCCCTAATGCTCTGTCTGGGCCAGACCAAATGATTTCATGGTCCTTATATGGCCTGTGGGCTGGACACTCCCCTCCCATCTTAGGGGAAAGTTAAATAACCTCAGCAAGGCCAGCCTGGCCTTAACCTCTTTCCCTGGACTCCAGCCAAACTGGCTATCTTTCTGTTCATAGAAAGCATCGCACTCCTTTCTGCCTCAGGACCTTTGCGCTGGCTGTTCCCACCCGTACCCAGACAGGCCCCTTCTCCACATAACTAAAGCCACTCATTCCCTCCAGGTAAAGCATCATGTGCTTGAGAGGATTTCCCAGCCTCCTTGACTATATCAGACCCCATTCATACTTCCCTGCTCTGTCCCATCCACTATCACCATGCATTACAGTTAAGTAATTCTGGGGTTAGTCATATTGCCAGGCCCTCCCCCAACCTCCAGGCCCACCCCCACCCACCAGTCAATTCCGTGGACTCTCCCCCACCCCCCACCCCCCACTGTATTCCTAGCATGTGGACAGGACCTGCCACAAAGCAAGCCCTCAAAAAACAACAACAACAACAACAACAACAAAACAAAACAAAAAAAAAAACACCCTATTTGTTGGTTGGGTGAACAAATAAATAAAAGTGAATTCAGGAAAGTCTATGTGAAATGTTTAAACTACTATTCCAAGATGCTAATATCTATACCAAATGATAGAAAGTTGTAACCTCAAAGAAGGTGATTCAAAAAGGGATGAAGCCGGCCGGGTAGAGCACCATTCCTACACCGAAAGGCTGTGGATTCATTCCCGGTCAGGACACACCCTAGGCTGCAGGCTCAATCCCAGTCAGGGTGCAACCAGCGTTTCTCACATTGATGTTTTTCTTTCTTTCTTTCTCTCTCTCTCTCTCTCTCTCTCTCTCTCTCTCTCTCTCCCTCCCTCCCTCCCTCCCTCCCTCCCTCCCTCTCTCTCTCTCTCTCTCCTTTTCTCCCTCTAAACATATCCTCAGGTGAGGATTAAAAAACAAAGAAAGAAGATTAAAAAGGGTTTAAAAAGTCCTTTCTGAATGAAAACGGAGATATGGTGTTAAAATAGAAAAGCAAACTGCGTCCAGTATGCACGCACACAAATTGCTGCTGGAAGTGACAGGAAACAGTGACTTCCTCTGGCGAGGGGAACTAAGCAGTGGGCTAGCAGAAAGAGGCCTGATTTCTGTATTACCCTGAGAAAAGAAACAGAGTTCCTCAAAGAGACGTGTTTTTATTTTACTTTAAAGGTGGTCATGGCATAACATATAACAATGACACCCTGGTTTAGGAAGCAGGAAATGGAGAGCTAGTCCCTCTCTGCCACTAAGGAGCAGTGTGACCTCGGAGAAGTCCCCCACCCACCACCGGTACATCTCCACTCTCATCGGTAACAGGGACCAGTGTCCTTGGTTGCTTCTGGCTGTGGTTGTTCTAGCTAGAATCTGCAGGGTCTAGAGTGCTTGCAAAGCTGCAGATCAATATAAATCTGAATATGTCCATGCACGTGCACACACACATACACACACACACTCTCCTTCCTGGCAGGTAGCAGAGCATAGACTTTTAATCTACAAAGCGATTAACCTCAAATCCATAACAACATTCTGATAATTCGCCACCCTGAGAAGCAGCAAAACAAAACACAAAAGGTCTCTTAGCAAAAATTCCGGCCTTATCAGAAAAACTGCTTTCCATCTTATCAGATAAACACCCCGACAGGGCGATGTGAAAAGTCACAGCACTCGGCCGTGCGGACCCTGGCAGCTGCTTACAACGGAAAGGCTGCTTTGCTAAGCAAAAGCCTTGAAAACATGTACGTTGGTTTTCATTCATCCGAGCAGCAGTTTCTTTTTCTTTTCTTTTTCTGCCCCCAGATTTTGAAAGTTGAACAGCAAGCAGGAAAAGGAAGGTAGTTTATAATCATGAGATCCTCAGTCCTCTGAATATCAGACAAGTGGCTCATCACTAAAACATGGCAGGAGCTAGGATCCTTCGCTGCTGCTCCTTCAACTGCCAGCCTCACACACCGCCCTCTGTAAGTCACCGTGATCCCCACATGCTCTGGGCAAAGCCAGTTTCATCTCAGAACCACCAGATTTTCTCAGACACGTTGCCAAAAATCTCGCTTTTCGGACACTTGCATAATCTCTGCTGTAGCAATAATGCACCACCGGTAAATATTATGTATAATACTTAATATTTCTATTTAAATCCACTCACATACGACTTTCTTTTCTTTTTTTGTTTTAAGGGGAAACTTTACACCACTACCACAAATGGAAAATCAGTGTCAACTCCATAAATAGAAGGGAGGGTAAAGGAACAATAAAAACAAAAGTTACTAAATTCAAGCAAGACACCTCGGCCGGCCAAAGGCTCGGAGCCTGAGGCCCCTCTTTCTCTCCCTCCTATGCTCTTTCTGTATGCAGGTATAACTTACATTCACAGATTTGGGGG